CCATTGTAGGATAAGGGAGGCAGGGGTTTATATAACATGGGCAGATGATGCCGACATCCAACAACCGTGGGGACATTGTCCCTCTGTATTCCGCGGCCACTGATCATACACATCCATACATACGCATGCATGACTTTCAATTCGAACACAATGCAATTCTATCGCGATGTCGCTCATAAAAACGTCGTCCATTTATCCATTTATCCATCCATCCACTCATGCATCTGTTTTGAGGAGAACAACGTGTCGTCAAATTGTATAGATAGATTCGATATTCGATGGATCCCGATAACCACCAGTCAAGTCAGACACCCTCCGATTCGACTTGGAGGCGAGGGCTTTAAATAAAAAAGCAATCTTGGCCATAAAACGAAACGAATAATAAAAGGAAACACGGACGGATTGAAATGTAAACGTGTCGTATTGTTCTGAATGACGCGTCTGGTTGAACGACCATCCTTGCGCTTCTGCCTTGACTTGGCTGGTGTGGTGTCATGTTGAAAAAATCTTGTCAGAATTCAATCCATGCAATGTTTATGTTTCTTCTTAGAAGCGTTGCTTAGTCAGTTGCATTTTCAACCATTTCTTTTCTTGCGTATGTACATATGTAAATACAGTATCGACAAAAGTTCTCTCCTGGCATGGCATCCTGAACAAATTGAGCGTGTAAGTTTGTGCGTGGGCAGTTTTTTTAGTGAGGAAAGGGTGAGTACGTACTAAATTGCATGGCTTAGTCTGGTATGTAGCAATGGCCGCGGAAGGCGTGGGGACGTTAACATTGTAGGGTGGGGGAGGGACGGGTTTATATAAGATGATGCGGACATCGAATAACCGGGGGGACATTGTCCCTCTGTCCGCACTCACGCTTCCGCGGCCACTGCATAAAAGTATGTTATACTCTTATAAATTCAGTGGCCGTGGAAGCCGTGGGGACATCGGGGAACATTAACATTGTAGGTTTGGGGGAGGGACAGGTTTATACCAGATGGGCAGATGATGCGGATATCGAACAACCGTGGGGACATTGTCCCTCTGTTGTGTCCCCACCCTTCCGCGGTCACTGGTTGAGTGTCGAATCTAGAATATTGAGTCACCCATCATCAACAACATTACTTTATTCACTAGAGAGAAGAGAGGTCATAAAATAATACCAGATTCAACTTTAGTGTGAGAAGGTGAAAAATGTCTTGTCCAGGGGTTGTTCTTTTTAGGCGTCGTGGTCGTGTCTTCCCTTGTTCGTGAGTGTTTTGGCCTGATAGTAAATTGCAGGATTGGTACGTACTTACGCACCAACCACAATGCAACATTATCATAATTATGCAGACACAGACTTGCCCTGGTCGCGTTGTAATACCGGCTTTTACCATTTTGGTCGGTCGGTCAGTACGGGTTCGATCCATAAAATGTGTTGAAATGAAATAACTCGTGGGGTGAGTTTGGCTGGCTGGCGATTACATTTTGAACGTAGGAATCGATTTCATTTCATCCCGTAACAAACAAATTATGGATTGTTTTACAACTTGAAAACAACCGGAATTTCATAATTTCGATTTGAATTTTGTATTTATTTTGCTGGGGTAAAAAGTCGAATTTGAAATTTTTACAGATGTTGGAATAAATGCGATGTAAAAGATAAATTTTGTATTTACAGTCTATTTATTTACGATACGACCCTCGACGTCACCACTGCAATGCTATTAGTAATGAGAGTGATGACGTCGAGGATCGTATGGTTAAAAAAACAGGAGTAGTTTGCTGGAGTAAAAAGTCGAATTTGATATTTTCACAGATTTTTTTTGAATAAATGCGATATAAAAGATCAAGTGTTGTAGTAAGAGATTTTAAATTTAGCAATACTATAGTTTATTTTAAATTGTGAGGATATGAATATTTTTGGTGATCCGGTAATCCTATTAAATTTCTGAGGTAAATAGACAAATAAAGAGTTTTGTAATCAAAAAACTTTGTAAAAATTTATGAAAACTTGAAATATAACGTTATAATTTTCGTTTTCAAAATTTAAAATTCAAAATTTTGCAACAAAACGATTTATTTAAGTTAAAAGGATACGAGTATGCATTTAAAAATATTTCCAGACCCTGTTTTACCTATTAAATTTCATTTGCTGAGGTAAATAGTCGAATTCAGATTTTTGTAAAGGTTTAAAATAAATTGACAATATAACAGATTTCAATTTTATTTCTTCACTTTCAAAATTGATAAAAAAAGGGATTTATTTCAGTTAGAAGGATACAAATATTTCCAGAAATTTGCTGATGGAAATTGTAAATTAAAATTTTCACGGATTTCCCTATAATACATTCGACATGCAAGATATCAATCTTTCCCGATATTCAAACTTTAAAAATGAGACTATGCACAAACAACACGATTTATTCATCTTATACGAATATTTTTTTTCTAGTAAATATTTCCAGATTTTATTTCCATACTCATTCCGTCCCTTTATCTTCCTTCATTCGGTTGGTTTTTTAAGGAAGGAAGTGATGACTGGCTCGGCCAAGATTTAAAAGTTGTTCTTGCCCATATATGCCCCGTCCACATGCCGAGTTTAGAGAGTGGTGGTAACACAATGAATAATGAAGATACGAGATTATTGCACTGCTAAGACTTTTAAAGCGTCGTCGTCATTCTTTCGTCGCTTATTATATTTAATTATCAGTTTTGTTCTCGTACAAAAGTGCTAATCTAATAGCGAAGGTGATTTGCAGCACCTCAACTCCACCATAAACAGACTAAATCGCTGCACTTATGTTTCATCTAAAGGAAAAATATATTATGATTATGAGAAAAAAATCAAGATTACCTATGCACTCGGATAATGGTTATCTGCACTTTTAATGGTTTTTTTTAGATTAAAGTTCATCTCATGTAAAATTCCATGAAAAGATTAGTTTTCTGACCACATTTCAATTTAGCTTCAAAAATTTCAACCAGAATTGGATTATTCAAAAACTAAATAAATAAAATCATTTATTTTGCAGAAGTAAATTTTTATGCAGTGTTTTCCAATTTCTCCAAAATTCCAATCTCATCTAAATTATTCAACTAAATTGATTCAATCATTTACTTTGCAAAAATTGCATTTTTTTTTGTAGCTGACCAGAAATCAATTTTTTCAAAATTTCAATCTGAACTAATTACATGTTCCGAATAAATTGATTCCACCACTTTCCTTATTTACTTTTCCAAATATTTTTTTTTCAAGAAATATTAACGATTAATTACACCACACCATGAAAATCTGCAGATACAAATCTGGATGACGGATTAGATTCCATTTAACTTGCGGTTCATTGCACTTTTTCATACAAACAGCATCTGGCTGGCGAATACATATGTACCCTCATGACAAGATTTTATTCGATATTTCTTCCACCACTGCTTGGAGCACCCTCACTTTTAATAATCAATTTCAATATTTACCAACATCCTTCATTTCATCCCTGGCAGAAATGATTATGACAACGCAATACAAAAAATTTGCATATCTGATGACTTCCAAAGAGTAATAAGGAATCATGATTAATGGTAGAAATCAATTTGTATAAATGTCAATATGGATTTATGTCTGACTGAATTTTAGAGTGTCTCTCTTCTTCCACTGCGGATGTGAAATGAAGATGAGTTGTGCAGAATAATAAAAAGCATTTTTTTGTGCCAAGTGAATAAAAAAATTCCAGTAAATCATGTCTCGAAACGTGTTTCCAACTTAAATTACGCATGTTTGAGTACATGTTCTTCTATGAGTGAACCACTTATTAATATTTAAGTATTTGGTTGCATGTTGGTACATACTCGATCATTTCTGTTTTAAAATTGTGGCATATTTGCAAAAAACGACACAAAAATTCGGCTTGATTACTTACAATGGAGGTTTCCCAGCGTATGCTCTCCGATTTTGAGCAAAGTAGTGTCAATTGATGACAAAGTTAATTAGGATGAAATTTGCGAAAGACACGATCTCCCAATGGGCACGTTTGGCGGAGATATTTGCATCCGAAGAGGAGAAAACGCGCAGTAAATTTGGAAAATGTTAAATTTGTCGACTTTACTGTGCATTTTCTCCTCTTCGGATGCAAATATCTCTGCCAAACGTGCCCATTGGGAGATCGTGTCTTTCGCAAATTTGATCCTAATTAAATCTGTGATCATTTTAAACTAATTTGCTCAAAATCCGAGAGCATGCTCTGGGAGACCTCCATTATCACTGACAATTTATCAGCTAGGTTTGGATAATAAATACCAAATTATTATTTACCAATAACTAATAAATACTAATAACAAAATACATAGATACTGTCTTCTTCAGTAGCAATCGTTCATGGTAATACATACACACAAATTTGACACCGTACTAAATAAATTAGCAAATCAAGACGGACGACACTACAGGGTTTCTCTTTCTATAAAATTACAAATCGTGACATGTTAGAGACAACATTAGCCCCAACTTTACCAAACATGTCATTCACTTACGTACTTAATTATTCGAGAGAATTGCTAATACGCGTCGTCGTGTTGTTCGCTTCCTTCACACATATGCAAATTCGCTAATAAAACTTGTTACAACAACACAGACGACAAGCACTTCTCATCTCATCACACGAGGACACAGACGACAATTGATGTACATACACACACACGAAAAATAAATGAGCAGAAACATATAACCCGTCCATTCATGAAAGTCATAACAGTAGAAGAAAGCAAAGTACCACGCTTTACATGTTACCTCCACAATTTTAAACAGTGGCCGCGGAAGGGTGCGGACAGAGGGACAATGTCCCCACGGTTATTCGATGTCCGCATCATCTCCTCATCTTATATAAACCCCTGCCTCCCCCTACCCTACAATGTTAATGTCCCCCCAGCTTCCGCGGCTACTGTCACACTTTAAAGAATTGCACCTGAACTCCACACCCACCAAAATATCTTTGCCCGCATTTCTCTAAAACACTGAACGTTTCTCTTAACAGGTCGTAAATCCGACGCCATCGTCGCCACCGCCACCTCCATCTCACAATCTGGAGGAAGAAAGAAAGCAGAAGTGAAAAGAGGAGCAAGAGTATCATAAAGGAAACCGTTTTAGTGACATTTTATTATTGAGATGGGAATTCTAGCCGGGTCCTTTCCCCCCATTTCTGCTTGACAAGGCGAAAGGAGTAATATTCAAAGTCGACCCATCCACCTGAACCTGAACCTCCAGAAATGAACACGGGGCGTTTTACATCCTTAAATAATTACACGGCTTCCCGTTAAATCTCCAAAGTGCCATCGGAACAAGTCTCCAAGTGCAAAAAGCGAGAGAGATTTATTTAGTCATCTTCATATCAAAAACAGTTAGAAATACATGAAAATAATAATTCGTATCTGCAAAATTCTCCACCTTTACCCTGGCTTTTTAATGAATTAAATCTTATCCACTTGTAGACATAACCCAAGATAAGCCCCGTTTTCACGTGACCTTTCACTTTTTCACGCCTCACTCGATATACAGGACGTCAACCCAGTTTTTCGCGATAAAGTCATCATCACCAGAATATTCATTAATAACTGGAAACAAAAAAAACATAAAAATTAATTGGTGACATTTACACGAAAAGTAAAACGTAAAAGAGCAAGACATTCTTACATGAATTAAACCTTCGTGTGCCCATTTTTAACCAGTGTTTTGTTCTCTTGATCTCAACTCAAGTTATCAAGAAGGATCTCGTAAAGTGAAAATTATTCCAAGGCCAGGCAGCAAAATATTTCCGAGCGTAATAATAATAATATTCCAGAAGCAAGCAAGCCCAGCAAATATTTAATACAAAACAAAACTACATACCATTTTCCAGTGGGAGTGATTATGCCCATGTGCAAATCTAATGCTAATGTTTATTGCTATTACCGTAAATGAATCCCAGCAAGTAAATTCCCACCAAGAAATCCAGCTAATTGGATTAGTGGCGAAATAAATCTTTTCGCATACTAATCTGACGTAGTTTTTACTTACCTAAAAGTCGCTTCACGCTGTATCTTATCCATATTTACATATGTACATTGTGGCATTTAAGAAATTTATCCATATCAAGATGTGCTTTATGTTTCGTAATTTTGTAGCTGAAAAAGAATGCGAATCACAGAATTCAGTAACAACAACAACAACTACAAAGGAAAAGCCTAAATTGCGAGTAAATTTTTGATGTAAATTTTTTTTCTAAGGCTCGGATTACAAAGTCAACAAAGGAAAAGGAAATAAAAGTCAAATTTAATTGTTTAAACGACTTTTTACGCTTGAGAGGAGATCACCTGCGGAAAAAATAATCGTATCAACTCCGGAACTTCATAGTGTTTTCGTGTATATTCGTCAGTGACACTCAAGACTCCTTAAAACACACACTTTACGAAACTTTACCTGGTTTGGTCGTAGTGTTTGTGTAATTAGCAAAACTTGTGTAACTAAACTAACAAGGAGTAAGTGGGGTAAACAAATATACGGCTAAATTCGTTACTTTCTGTCGTGTCTCCAACTCCACGTGAGTTTTACTTTCACTCCTGTTTGACTCCTCTTAAACGAGAGACTGCTCTAATTAACTAATTAGATTATTGTGTTACCTTACTTACTTACTTTGTGTGCTGGTGACATTTGGACGTTTTGGATCTTAAAAAAGAACATAGAACAGCGTCACGCCGGAGGATTAGCACAACGGTGAAATGAAGTCCCGGGCTAATCAGGTCAGGAAAAGTTTTTTGTACTTTCTCTCTAGATTTTTAATTAGTGTAGTAATTTATTTAAATGTGTCGCAAACACGTTTACATAGATTTAGTTTTATGAAAAGACCAAAAAACACGGTTGATTGAGGTTCATCTACGTAAAAAGGAAGTCATTTTTCATCATAAAAAAATTGCGAAAAAAATTGTGACGCAACTTAAGACGTAAAAAAACACTGCGAATCCCGGTATTTTGACTGTCAGGTAAAAAATTGAGGTTTGTTTACCCAGGATATTTGATCATAAAATATTTCAATTTCTAAAGATAAACTGCTAAAAAAAACTTGTTACGTAAAAAAAAAACATTTAAACCCTGTGTTTTGACTATCAGATAAAAACCTGAGGTTCATTTACACAAAAGCATCACTAAAATATTTTAATTTTTATAAAAAACACTGCTAAAAAAATTTGTTACGTAAACAACATTTAAACCTGAGTATTTTGACTACCTGGTAAACAAATTGAAGTTTATTTAATTAAAAGCAAAGTAATTTCATCATAAAATAGTTCAATTTCTAAAAAAAACTGCTAACAAAACTTGTTACGTAAAAAAACATTTAAACTCTGTATTTTTTCTGCAAGGTAAAAAAATTGAGGCTCATTTAACCCACGAAAACAAAGTCATTTTATCATTTCTAAAAAAAAACCTGCTAAAAAACTTGTTACGTAAAAACCCCGGGTATTTTGCCTACCAGGTAAAAACCCGATGAAGATTCTCTTTCTCTCTAATCCTCCACTAACTACTTGTCAACGATGATATCGCCAATCAAAGAAGACTACGAAAGAGGGAGAGAAAACTAGGCGAAAGTTTATTTGGACTGTCTCCGCTTTCTCTGTTCGTCTTCTTCTTCTTAGATAGCTGACTATGAAATGCTCCTCCTCAGTTTTCCGGCTAATTACCCTCTTAAAGCCAAATAGTCCGGTTGGGGAACTGTCATTTCGGATATTTGAATGGGGATGAGAGTCTCCTCCTGGGAGGCGAGATTACGATTACATTTACTCCGGCGACGAACGTAACGGGTAATTTCGTTTGTCTCTATCAAACCCAACGAAATGTCGTCTATTCCTAAACATCAGCAGAAGAAGAGCGATAATCTGATTCTCGTCCTCGTCGTAGTCGTGTCCTTCATTAAATCGAGTTTTATGGTTGCAAGAACATCCTGTTTTTGGATGCAGTTCTCCAAATTGTCAATTTAATGAGAGTGTAATACAATAAAGTACACGGTTTTTGGTCATGGTCGGTCTTTAAGACGGAGTTAATAAAAACGGGGTAGAAACCATCAAGTTTCAAGTCGAGGAGTCGAGTAGAAATTATTGTGATGAATTCTGCAGTATTTATTTGACAAAAGCTATTTAGATGCATATTTTATTTAGTTGTGTATGTAAATTTTTTGCATAATCCGGCCGAAAAATTTTTTATAGGTTCAATTCTGTGGAATCTATATGCATAATTTTGCCAAATCGCTCTTTATAAAAGTTTTTTGCAGAAAACTGAGCCAAATTTTTGCAGGAAAGGGGTTCAAATTTTTATCCAATTTTTTCTTCGGAATTACAATTTTAAATAATGCAATGGAAATGAAATCCATCAATTTTCAAATCTTTTACGAATTTTATTTACTTTATATTTATTTACATATTCTCAGATTTTCATTTTTCCAGTGAAAATATCACCAAAAAAATCTGACTGAACAGTTGGGACATTTATTATTATTCGGACCAAATTTCATGTTCCATTAGACTCAATATCACTCCAGGACACGAACAAACCAGTTTTCTTTTTTGTCCCAAAATATTGTTCCAATCGGGCAAATAAAATAACGTCGAATGCATCCGTTGTTGTAGAAAAATTGGAGGGGACAGACCGAACTTTTTACTGGAAAACTTGGTATTTTTTCTTCATTTCTTTCCTCCCCCGGAGAAGAAAAGAAAGTATGAGTTTGCAAGCTGCCATGTTTTTCTCGACAGAACACACATCGAGCTTCGCTGGCTGGCTGGTTGACAGGGAAAAAGTCGAAGAAATATTTATTCTAATCGCCCGTAAATATTCCAAACATGTGCCCACACTCCATCTCTCTCTCCTATTTTCCTCTCGTAACGTAATCAGTGGCCGCGGAAGCCGTGGGGACATCGGGGGACATTAAAATTGTAGGATAGGGGGAGAGACGGTTTTGTATAAGATGGGAAGATGATGCGGACATCGAACAACTGTGGGGACATTGTCACACGCTTCCGCGGCCACTGAACGTAACACACAGAAAGTAAGGAGCTGGGAGTAAATGAGATTTGTAATTGGTTCAGTCTAAAGAAAATAGTGAGATCAAAGCAAAATGGATTCAGCAAGGGAAGCAAAATAGATAGAGAAAAATCTCGTCTTTTTTATTAAATAGAGGAGAAGAAGATTCGATTCAATAAATTCGAGTTTTTTAAAGAAAAAAATGCAGATTTTTATTTTTATTCTCACCGTCTGCATCTTCTCGTTAGATAAATACACTAGTAAATAGATGTCGTCTTTATGTGTGTGGAAAAAACCAGTCTATAAAGACATTATTATTATTTCCATCGTGTTCATACCGACCACGAGATAGATTTGAAGATTTTAAATCTCTCCTCTTCCCTTTGATGATGATGACTAATTGGGCAGTAAAATATCGCGACAGGGGGGAGAGAGACGAGGTGGATGATGTCGCAGTATTATGACCAGTGGCCGCTGAAGCCGTGGGGACAATAACATTGTAGGATAGGGAAGGGACGGGTTTAACTAACGTGGGGAGATGATGGGGATATCGACGAATAACCGTGGGGACATTGTCCCTCTGTCCGCGGCCACTGATTTATTACTTCTGTCAGCCATAGTAGATAGATCTTCCCTCGGATAAAACATCCATCGTATCAGCACTTGGCGAAAAGGCGAGAAAGCTTTTATTCATCATTAGCAAGTAGTCGGGTCGGATTGGATTATTAACAAGCCAATTTTAATGGGAGGCACGCACCTCACTCACTTCTCAAACATGGCATCAAATCCGTTTGTTTAGTCACAAAGTGTATGTACATACGCGTCATTAGGCCAGTGGCCGCGGAAGCCGTGCGGGGACAGTAACATTGTGGGATGGAGGAGGCAGGGGTTTATATAAGATGATGCCGACATCGAATAACGGTGGGGACATTGTCCCTCTGTCCTCCGCGGTCACTGTATTAGGCTAAAATATGTATTAAGTTTGCATTAAATCCAGTGGCCGCGGAAGCTGTGGGGACATTAACATTGTAGGATGGAGGAAGAAAGGAATTATGTAGCATGGCCTGATGATGGGTACATCAAATAACCATAGGGACATTATTACCCTGTCCCCACGCTTCCGCGGCCACTGCACTAGGCTAAAATATGTATTAGGTTTGCATTAAATTGATCACCCCCATTATTATTAGTCTCTCTCTCCCTCTGTATCTGCTTGGCTTATCTGTTCGTGTAGGATTTATGGAGACAAATGTATGTGTTATATTGCACACACACAAGTAATAAACGAGATTGGCGGAAATCACTAGGGACCAGAAGAGAAAGCACATGATCAGTAGCGTCGTCCTTGTGGTTTGTACACTATTTACTTTACTCACAGAATGGATCCGTTTGTCCTGCATATTAACAACATAAACTATGCTCCAAACATACAATTTATGTATCTCTCTTTGTCTCTGACTATGCATAAAATTGTGATAAGAAGACGGAGCCAGATTCGTATTTATTTACACAAGTAATAACTGCATTTTACATGATTCTCCGGCAAAAGTTGTTCGCGAGGTTAGCGACTTGTTTATGAATCTTGTTTTCATGAAATGAAATCCTCTTTATGGTTGTAAATTTGACTCTTTCTTTCAAAGTTAGAGTGGCAACAATGACAGGAAAATGTAAATAATGCTGCTAGACCCCCGCGACTATAATTGCGGAGTGTTTTTGGTCCGTTGTTGTTGTTGATTGTCATATTTGAAATGCAGTGTTAAGTGAAAGCTATTGTTTACAGAACTTACAATAATTCTGCATTAGGCCGGAATTATTCGACTTGTTTCCAGATAATGTATACCTCCATTCTTTACCTTGACAAGTGTGCTAGCTTGACTTGTTGAAGAGGAGGAAAAGGCGATAACCCATTAATTATCATGGAAGAGTAAGGCCCAAGAGTGAGTGAGCACAATAATTATCACTGTCTTGTCTTGGCCTCTCCAAATTTAAGCTGCCCAGCTTATCTTGGTCTTAACCAAGTTTCATTCATTCATTGTGTAATTGCATGAATTCTCGTCACGCCTCGGAGCAGCGGAGGAGACGTTACGTTTCGAGGGAGAAAGCATCCCATCACTTTTGCCCGTCTGGTCTGCTATCGAATCAAAATGGTTTGGTTTGTATGCCAGCCAGGGAGAAGAGAGGAAGAGACAGTGGCCGCGGAAGCAGTGGGGACATTAACATTGTATGATGGGAGGAAGAGAGGGAATGGTTTATATAAGATGGCGAGATAAGTAGGTTTCGAGGACATTGTCCAATTTGTCCCTCTGTCCCCACGCTTCCGCGGCCACTGAGAGGCAGGTTCAATTCAATGCAAGGAGGCGGATTGTTAGTCCGGGTGTTAATGTGGGTAAGCCGGAAAATTCTTGGAGTGTAAGCTCAAGTCCTTTTCTCCCGAGAAAATCTGACTATTAGAGAAAGAAGCTAAGCTCAAACCCGTGTTCGACGTTATTCAGCTCGAATTGGCACTCAATTCAACAAGCAGAGTTCAGAGGATATGTATGCATCGCATTGCTCATATAAATAGGGTGACCGCGCCAGTGGCCGCGGAAGCTGGGGGACATTAATTTTGTAGGATTGGGGGAGGGAGAGGTTTATGTAACATGGGGAGATGTTTGGGACATCGAACAACCGTGGGGACATTGTCCCTCTGTCCGTGGCCACTGGACCTCACCATTAGAAATTATTGGAGAAA